TTATTATTGGTTGTTCAAAACATTACATAGTTCTTGACATATATCTCATACATTTGATTCAAGTGGGTTATGAACTCCCATTTTTACCCTGTATACAGATTGCAGAATCACATTGGTTACACATCCACTGTTTTACATATTGCCATACTAGTGTCTGATGTGTTCTGCTACCTTTCCTATCCTCTACTATCCCCCTCCCCTCCCCTCCACTCCCATCTTCTCTCTCTACCCCATTTACTGTAATTCATTTCTCCCCCTTGTTTCTAAAAAATAAATATTAAAAAAAAAAAAACAGAAGTAGCAACAGAGTACCACAGACAAGGAGACCTTGAAACTGAGCTGCAGTCCACTCCAGAAAGGGAGCACCTTGCGTGCTCTTGTTGCTATATTGCTGAATTCTTACTGGGTGAGCACCCCAGGTGACTTACTTTCCCAGGCAGGCTGGTCCAGTGAGGGCTAAAAACACACCTTCCCCTCAGAGAATATGTTTTAATCAGCTTTTTCATTGCTGTGACCAAAATATATAACAAGAACAATTAGAGAAAGAAAATTTTATTTTGGATCCCAGTTGCAGAGTTTTCAGTCTATAGATGGCTGACACCATAACTGGGCCTGAGGTAGAGCAGAACGTCATGGCGAAAGTGTATGATAGAGGAAAGAAGCTCAGGACGTAGTCACAACCCACCTGCCTACAGTTACCTCCCAATTAATATATACTAGTGAATTAATGTGCTAAATTAGGGTAAAGCTTTCATAACCGAATCATTTCTATTTAAACTTTCTTGCATTATCTTACACATGAAGAATGGGGGGACACCTCATATCTAAACCATTACAGACATGTTTGTAATCCAGAACTACATTCTAGCTGTTGGTAAAAGTTGCACTGATTTTTTATTAATTTGGCTGTTGTAACTTCTCTCTTCCCTTCCTGAAGAAACCCTGTTCTGTCACTCTTGTGTTATCCACAAATATCCTAGATAATCTATTTTTATCAATCTCCTTATTTTCAATTTTTCTATCAGACGGTATTCTTTGTATTCTCCCTCTTGGGCTTCTCTCTCTTTTCCTACTTATCTCCTTTGTAGTTGATCTGTCATCACTTTTCTCCTGTGAACAGATCTTTTGGCTATTTTCTTGAGTTTTTCCTTCCTTTTCTCTTTTTTAAAAAAATTTTTTAATATTTATTTTTAGTTTTCAGCAGACACAACATCTTTATTTTATTTGTATGTGGTGCTGAGGATGGAACCAGCGCCTCGCACATGCCAGGCAAGCACGCTACCACTACCGCTTGAGCCACGTCTCCAGCCCCCTTCCTTTTCTCTTGCAAGTGGTGTTTTTGTTTTTGTTTTCAGCTCATCACAACTTCATTCTCTGTTTCTGTCCCATTGTCAGTGCTTTTGGATAAAGTAGATATTCTCTCTCAGCAGTTCTCCTGCCCAGCCTTCTCAACATGGCTACCAACTAGAGAAAAGGTTTATTACCTTGTATTGGAATGGTTTATATCAAACAGCATGTTTTCTACAAGAATTTTTAAAATTTTCCTAATCTATGATTATTTAAAAAAATAAATGTTAAACATATTCAGGATCATCTAGGTGTCACATTTTCAGTATTCAGAGTTACACATATAATTGCATAGGCATCAAAGAAAACAGGAATAGACTTAATGTGTAAGTGATGAATTCGAGCTAAGCGGAGGCTGAATGACATCATGTTGCATTGTACAGATGAATGTTTTTCAGTGATTCAAATGTAGAGAATTAGTGGGGGAAATGAATCATCACAGCACAAACAGTGAAAAGCCTGCCAAACAAAAACAAACCTGTACTGAAGCAAGCAGTACTATGCCTAGTTTAAACCAAGTCACATCATTATTCACCTTAAATGTAATTAGTTTGAATTGTATTTTTGTTTTGGATTTTATTATAATTAATTTATAAAAATTTTAAATGGTTTTTAGTTGTATAAGAGCTATAAGCATAAGGGGTTTATAACTATTGTTCTATTTACAGATATTTATATAACATTATAATAAAAACAAATAGTCAGGCTTCTAAACTAACAGGGATCAGAGCCATCCTCCTGCCTGAGACAACTTAAACTGAACAAAATATATGGAGTGACAATTTTCAAGTCATTGTTAGATATTAGGGAATGAAAGACAGTATTCCCTGAAGTATGGGAAACAAGCACAGATAACCCCTGCTGACTGCCAGTATACAGTTTAGTTTCCAGGCCATGGTACAGGGAGGGGAAAGCAAGGTAGGACCTGATGAACTTCTTGGATTGAAGATATTGACTGAATGATTGTGGAAACTTGAGTGACTACAGTTTGCAGGAAAGAATTCTGGAGAAATGAGAGAGAGCAGCAGAGAAGGAAGTTCAGAGACCTGCCAAAGGTTCCCCTCAAATATTCAGTAGAGTACTGATGAGCACCTTATTACCTTAGGCTGTGAAAGAATCATCCAAGAGGAATAGAAGGAATAGCAATTGTTGCTCACACAGGACTAGAAGATGTGCCTGTCCACTGCCACCCCTACCTACCACCAAGCCAAATTTAGAAAACCTCGAAATTCATGGGGAATTATGTAGAGTATTCAGGACAGTCATGCATCATAAATGAGGAATAATTAATCCTAGAATACATGCTGAGCTTGTCTCACCTAAGAAACTTAAGATAGATTTAAAAGAGCCAAACTATTTCCTAGCACTATTATGTGGCCCAGAATCAATTCTAGTGATATTTAAAAAGAATACAAAAATATCCAGCCACCAACAAAGTAAAAAAATACAATGTCTGGTATCTTAAAAGTACTAGGGTAAGGGTGCAACTTAGTGATAGAGCACATAGCATGCACAGGCTCTGGTTTCAATCCCTAGCACCAAAATAAACAAAAACTACTAGGTGATGAATATGCAGGAAAATATGACCCCAAATTATAAGAGATAAATCAATAGGAATTCACTGAGAATTGACTATAATGTAATAATTAAGACAACATTAGTTGTTATAATTGTATTTCATATGTTCAGAAAGATAAAGGAAAGATTGAACATGTTAATTAGAGAAAGGAAGACAGAGAAAGGACCCATATAGAACTTAAAGATGAACACTGTGATACTTGAGATGCAAAATATGCACATTAGACAAAATTAGACATTGCAGAAATGTAGATTAATAAACTTGACACAATAGAAACAATGCAAAGAGTAATACAGAGGAAAAATGAATTTTAAAACATAAATAGAATATTAAGCTGTGGGACAACTTGAATGGGTTAAATATACTTAATTGGGATCCCTGAAGGAAAGGGTACAGGAAAGATTTTGGGTTTTTGTTTTGTTTTGTTTTTTTGGGGAGGAATACCAGGGATTGAATTTAGGAGCACTCTGCTACTGAGCCATATCCCCAGCCCTATTATGTATTTTACTTGGAGACAGCATCTCATTGAGTTGCTTAGCACCTTGTCATTGCTGAGGCTGGCTTTGAACTCGTGATTCTCCTGTCTCAGCCTCCCAAGCCACTGGGATTACAGGCATGCGCCACCACAACCAGCTGACAGGAAAGTATTTGAAGAAATAAAATGATAATATCTTTCTAAATTTGATGAAGAATATAAACCCACAGTTCTAAGAAGCTTAACAAACCCCAATTGTAAGAAGCAGGAAGGAAAAACATCAAGCTATAAATTACCCCAAACCAATGAAAAAATATCTTAAAAGCATCCAGAGATTGACAGCAGATTTCTCTCAGAAACAATGAGGAAGAAGAATGGAGGAAACATCTTTACTGACATTTAAAAAAAAAAGAAAGTAAACAAAAATGTCTTTAAAAAGAAGGCAAAATACCTTTTCAGACCTACAAAAGTTGAAAGAATTAGCCACCAATAGATATATACCAAAAATAATAATAATAATACATTAATTTCTCAGATGGAAGGAAAATGATACAAAAGAAACCTAGAACTACACAAGAGCTGAACACTAGGAATCATAACTGCATGGGTAAATATAGGCTTTTCTGTTAGCACAAAATGACCGGGCCAGACACAAACTTCAGGATCATCTCGGCCAAAAGGAAGTTTCATGCAGGAATGGGGTGATGCTGGTGGACCCACTTTCCTGGCGGAAAATGAGCCACTGAACAAAGGAGGGGACTGGGCTAATATGGGTTATACTGAGAGGTAACTTAATTAATGAGTGTGTCAGCTTGTGTACTCAGGAATTTGAGGTCTGTTTTACTGGGCAAAAGGGGAGGGAGTCCAGGGTCAGCAGTCAGTGTCTGGGATTTATCTTACTGGACCAGATGGAGGGCCTGGGGTCAGTGGTTGGTATCTGGAAAGGTTTGTTTAGGGAAGAATTAGGCTTTGGCCTCTTCCTAGAGACTAGGTTTGATGGACACCTCCTCCCCAGGGTTTGTTTTACCACCAGGAAAGGATGTATTAGGAAAGGATCAATGCTCTCAATGTATGACCTTCTTTCTCACTCCCTTTTCCCAGGCCTTACTATTTTGGGGTTTGTGATTTTCCATATCTAATATTTTCAAAAAGAGAATAGACTGTTGAAACAAAAATAATAACAATGTAGTATGGATAATATTTATAGAAATAAACCATATGACATGACAACATAGCAAAAAGACTGGAAGGAGAGAACTGAGAGTATTCTATATAGTAAATTTCTTATATGTGAAGGAATGTAATTGGTTCTCCTTCTGTCATTGTGCCCTGACTGATAAAGACAATGAAAAGTGTGTTGGAATTTTGAATGGGATCGCATCAAATTTATTTGAAGGTTTTTTGCTTTTTTGTTTTGTTTTGGTGCCAGGGATTGAATTCAGGGTTATATAATCACTGAGTCATATCCCCAGACCTCTTTTGTATTTTAGTTAGAGACAGGGTCTCACGGAGTTGCTTAGGGCCTCACTAAATTGCCAAGGCTGGCTTTGAACTCACAATTCTCCTGCCTCAGACTCCTGAGCTGCTGGGGTAGCAGGCATGCACCACCATGCCGAGCTATTTGTAAGTTTTTTTATTAATGAACGTGGTATGTCTCTTCATTTACTTATGTTTGCTTTAGTGTTTCAATAAGGCATTATCATTTTTTTCAGAAAGGACTTATACTTCTTTTTCTATTTCTAGTTACTACATGAAATGTCCTTCTTTAAAAAAGAATACAGACTTGACTTTACAGAGCAGTTTTAGGTCCATAACAAAATTGATTGGAAGGTGAGGGATTTCCTGTATGCCACTTACCTGAACACATATGAACACATATCCTCCTGTGATAGAAGTTGTTTTGGTAGATACTAAGGAATGTAATTGTGGTTTCGAGTCTTGGGACCCCTCTCGGAGAGACTCTGGCGCTCAACAAGAACCACTCGGAGGGTGGCAGAGTGATCGTCAACAACACTAAGCGTGTTCTAATATCCTATGATCATGTGGAACTTACATTTAATGACATGAAGAATGTTCCAGAGGCCTTCAAAGGGACAAAGAAGGGCACTGTCTACCTTACCCCTTACTGGGTCATCTCTCTGTCCAAGGGGAAGGATGCCATGCAGTCCTTCATGATGCCATTTTATCTCATGAAGAACTATAAGATCAAACAGCCTGTGTTTGGTGCAAACTACATCAAGGGGATGGTAAAGGCTGAAGCAGGAGGTGGCTGGGAAGGCTCTGCTTCATACAAGTTGACCTTCACAGCAGAGGGCGCCATCGAGCTTGGTCAGCGCATGCTACAGGTGGCATCTCAAGCTTCCAGAGGTGAAGCCCCCAATGGAGCCTATGGATACCCTTCCATGCCCAGCGGGGCCTATTTCTTTCCCCTGCCAGTCGCCAATGGAATGTATCCCTGCCCTCCTGGATACCCCTATCCACTGCCGCACCTGAGTTCTATCCAGGAGCTACTGTAATGGATGGGGCCATGGGATATGTGCAGCCCCCACCACCACCCTGTCCTGGACCCATGAAGCCTCCAGTCAGTGGCCCTAATGTCCCCTCCACTCCTGCAGCTGAGGCCAAGGCCTCAGAAGCAGTTGCCAGTGCCTATTACAACCCAGGCAACCCACACAACGTCTACATGCCCACGAGCCAGCCTCCACCACCTCCCTACTACCCTCCAGAAGATAAGAAGACCCAGTAGACCCTGCCTACTTCCCTGTCCCCACCTCATGGGCCTTCCGTACCCCTCCTTGTGGGACTGCATCTGACTGGGGGAGGCCAGGGAGGACCTTATTCTTCCCCTGGTCTGATTATAAAAGTTACCAGGAACTAGTGTTGCAGGAAGGCAGGGCTCTAGCCTCTGGAGAGGTGTCCCCCCAGTTTCCCACACTAGCTCAGCCCACAGCACCCCTCTTACCATTTCTGGCACTGTCCTGGGAGCACAGGGTGTTCCCCTTGTTCCTGTTTCACTCTAGTAGTTTCTTTCCACAGAGGGACTCTCTGGCCACCTCCTCACATCCTTGTCAGAATTTGGTGTTGTGATTACTTGGGTTTTAGCCATTATAAATGGTATGTAGAGGCTGAATATGTGTTTGTTTGTTTTTAATTTCAACTTTCTAACTCCTAGCACTCTTTTATATTGGTATTATTATATTCTTATTAATTCTAATAATTTCTTTGTAAATTCTTCTGTATCTTCTATTTAGACAATTATCCCTTGTGAGTTGTGGCAGTTTTGTTCCTAATTCTTGTTCCATATATTTTAAGCAATTCCCTGTTGAAAAGGTTTTTCAGACATAGGATGAAGGAATATAGTTATAATATTAACATTATAAAAGTTGAGACTTCTAGTATGAGGCTCCATAAATGTAGACAACCATCTTTATTGCTCATACTTACAAAGACAGAGGTCATGAATGGCCAGTTTGTAGCTCAAGAGAGGTTCATTAACAATTACTCTAAGGAGTGGAGAGTTGAGATCAATGATATTGCACATGTTGGTGGCCTTGGGTTCAGTCCCTAGCACAAAACAATTACTCTAAGATTCTCAAAGCCTACTGGTTCAGGTTCAGATTTTCTAAACTATCTTTGATGTTAAGACAAATCTTAAGGATTACAACAACAGGATAACAACAACAAAAATTTCCCATAAAGAGAAGCAAGAGGGGTTGAGGGTGTATGGATCTTGGTGGTGGCCATTTACCAGCATGCAGAGGCTCTGGGTTATATTCCCCAGAACTGCAATAAGAAACTCTTCTCTTAGAAGAGAAGAAAGAGAAAGAGGAGGAGGGAAAGAGAAAGCATGGGTGGGGAGAGAGAAAGAGATAGAGAGAAGAGCCTTCCTCACTAGGGGCAGACATCTTGGTGATATGGTTTACCTACACTTCATTTACTTTTAAGTGCTGGTGCTGAAGAGGGCTGAGCCTCTAGCTTTATCTAGGTTAAATGGACACTTTGATGGATTTAGCATACTATAATGTACTATCTCCCCCATCAAGAAGAACTGTAGTGGTATGAGGGATGGTCTGCGTCAGCCAGGATAAGATGGGGGTTGGAGAATAGGGGTAGCAGGCTTGTGCAACACATGTTGCAGGTGTGGGCTTTGTGGTGTGGCAAAGACTAAGGGAAGGAAAAAAACAAACAAACAAACAAAAAAAAAAAAACAAGGATGGTGTTATGGTTTAGATATGAGGTGTCCCAAAAGCTCACATGTGAGACAATGCAAGATTGCAAGAAAGTTCAGAGAAGAAATGATTGGGTTGTGAGAGACTTAACCCAATCAGTGAATTAATCTCCTGATAGGGATTAACTGAGTGGTAACTGAAGTGGTAGGGTGTGGCTGGAGGAGGCGGGAATTGGAAGCATGGCTTTGGGGTATATATTTGTATCTGGCCAGTGGAGTCTCTCTCTGCTTTCTGATCATGATGCGAGCTGCTTTCCTCTGTCATACTCTCCTGCCCTGATGTTCAGCCTCACCTTGACCCTTAAAGAATGGAGCTGTCCATCTTTGGACTAAGATCTCTGAAACTGTGAGCTCTCTAATAAACTTTTCTTCCTCTTAAATTGTTCTGGTCAGATCCTTTAGTCACAGCAACAAAAAAGCTGACTAAAACAGATGGTAACTTTTTATAAAATATCAACTTTGGGGAAAGGATCAGCATACAAAGAAAATACAAAAAGTCATCCTTGGTTCAACTACCATTTGGGACTCACATTTTTATATAATATAAAAGAACAGATGGATAGATGGATAAGAAAATAATTTAAAAAATAAATTTGTGCTTATAGTCAATATAGTTGTGTCTAGGATTTCCCCCCACTCCCTTTATAGTTCATGAACGTTTCTTTAAGTATAAATTCTTCAAACAGGTTGTTTGTAAACCTTATTTTCCAGGACAAGAGTGTTCACTGAGCAAGACCAGTGTGACTTCTAGGCTACAGAGAAATCTAAATCTCTCTGGAGGCTGAGCACAGTGACGCACGCCTATAATCCCAGCGGCTCAGGAGGCTGAGGCAGGAGGATGGAGAGTTCAAAGCTGGCTTGAGCAATTTAGCAAGGCCCTAAGCAACTCAGTGAGACCCTGTCTATAAATAAAATATAAAAAAAGGCTGGGGATGTGGCTCAGTGATTGAGTGCCCCGGAGTTCAATCCTCAGTACCTAATAATAATAATAAAACTCTCTGGATAAGCATCCCTAGAAAGGATATCAGAGGAGCATAGGAAGGCTATGTTTTTCTTCAGTGGAGAGCTTCCCTTACTACACCCGATGAAGCCAAGAGTTTCCTTGAAAGGATACTTTGTGCCCCTCTTTGTGCTCTGGGCTTTCATTTTTTTAAAGTCCCAGGCCTGGGGCAAAGACACCCCTCTTTAAGTAAGGAAAGAGGAAACAGGAAATATAATAAAAGAAAGGAGTAAGAAGTTGAGGTGAAAGAGGAGTAAAGAAAGAACAAACCCAGGGGAGCCAGTGAAGTTTGCTCTGTATAATTTTTGTTTATTTGCTTCTTTGTTTGTTGTAAAAGAAGCAACTGGTGTGAGAATCTTGAGTACACCCAGTTGGGAGTCTGGTTTCGGATAGTTTTGTCTTAGGGAATCTGCCATAAAAGCATGAATAGGAAAAGCCGCCATTACTTTATGTCAACAGAGAAGTCATAAAGTCATTGAGAGAGAACTTCCCATATTCAAACCTACCTTCTTTTAAAAAGGAAACAGCCCAGTATTTTCCTGTAATTTCTGTCCATTTTTATCTTACTATTTTGCCTCAAATTCAATTTGACTTAAAATTAAACCATTGCCCCAACTTCCCCACCCATTTCTAATTCAACTTCCTGGGGGTTTGGGGGGTTTGTTTTATGTTTTTTGTCTTTCACTTAAAAAGCATGGATGGAGAACCCAACATGTGGCAAGATGCTAGATACCAGACAAGGGCTAAGCCTCTCTGGACCTGGAGGATACAGCATAGTTGGTGGGGCTGTGAGGGTGGCTCAGGGGGCACATTGTAAGTAAATGCACTAAACCATAATTATGCTATAGGAACAGAAAGTATCCTTAAATTCCAGATATAATCAAATAATTAACTTCTCCATTCCTCAGTGCCTTAGACTAAGTGAGCCCTGGTCATTTGTACCTGGATGGTGCCATCAGAGTGGCACCATCTCTAAATTTTCCTCTCTTCAGTTTATCCTAGCACTGATGCCAAATACATAGCTTTCAATGACCTCAGTGACTACTGAATCAAGTTGGTATTCCTGCACCTGGCTCTTGAAAACCTCATTACTTACCCTCATTATGGCCTGCACAGAATTTTCTCTTCTATCATTGTTTCTTATATGCCCTAGAAAATGTCATTATCCTTCCTGCCTCCAGGATTTTGTTTTTGTTATTCCTCTGTTTTGGGCTGTTTTCTCCTTTCCTTCTGCATTTCCAGGTGCTTCACATTTCTCCATACGGCTTTCTTGGTGAGACCTTTCCAATCTCTCCAGTCTCTGCTTCAGTCTTCTTTGAATTTCTAATGCACTATGTAAGTCAAACTGGACTTTAGTTCTTTGTTATATACTGTCTGCTAGAATTAAATACCATCTAGGAGTAGACCTAGTTCTTTTCATTCATTCATTCTTACAAGTATGTGTTGCATAGCTTTTATGTGACAAGCATTAAGCACAGCCCTCATTCTCTGTGTTATAAATGCCTTGTAGGAAGCAGCATGTTCCAGGATATTGAGCTTTAAATGTTTAACAAATTCTCAGGTATTGAGAACAAGACAGTTTTAGGTGGGGAGGTAGAGATTAATCAAAGTGGAATTCAGTTTGGAATCAAGGATAGAGTTGGTGAGGAATGGGTAAATATCATCAAATGCTATTGAAGCTTTACCAAGAAGAATAACAACTGAGAAGCCACCAATGGATTTTGCAACTAGGAAGGTATTATTATTATCATTATTATTTGTGGTACTTAGAATTAGTACTTGGAAATCCAGGGATGCTCCACCACTGAGCTTAATACTTACCCCTTTTCATTTTTTAAATTTTAAGACAGTGTCTAACTATGTTGATCAGGCTGGCCTTGAACCTGAGATTATCCTGCCTCAGTCTCCCAAGTAGCTAGTATTACAGATGTGAGCCGCCAAGCTTTACACAAATAGGAAATTATTGATAACGTCCTAGAGTGAAATATATTTAGAATTGTTTGTCCAAAAATCATTAAAAAGGTTCTTAAGTGCTGGGAAAGTAGCTCAGTGGTAGAACTCAGGTTTAGAATGTGTGAGGTCTTGGGGTCTAGTCCTGGAACCTCAATCAATCAATCAATCAATCAATCAATCAATTCATCTCAAGAAAGAGATGCCTGTGTTCAGTTTTGGTTGTAAGAGAACTATTGTAGGTATTTTGGTCCTTCCTACGGTAGATATTAATGTTTAAGCTAAGCAATTCCAGAAGGTAAACATTATGCTTTTCTTGTTGTACATGGAGTAGAGTTTATTTAATTTGAAGGTAAAGCAAATTTAAATCTAGTCTATTTGATAATGAACATTTATTCAACACAAAACTCAGAGGCCTTTTAAATAAAAATGTTCCTTTTTCTTTTGCCACCTGTGTAATATATCCAATTAGGGATCAAAGCTTTTGGGATTAAAAATGACTTTCAGAAAATATAGTTACAAAATAAAGCTAATACAGATGTAAATTAAAGTAATATTAAACACTCTTTAGTGCTTACTGCATGCAGACACTGACTACTCTTAGGGCTTTGCATATATTTATTCATCTAATATTTAGAATACCCCATTGTAACAAATAACGAAATGAAGAGATAACTTGCT